TGGCTGTTTCTGAATGGCTGTCTCCTCTTCTACTGCCCTTCCAGAGCTGGGGCCCCTCCACCTCTTTCTCTGCCCCTCCTCCCAGGGCAGCCCTGCGTACGTGAAAACAACTCCCTCCGTGGTGCTCAAAGTTCACCGCCTAGAAACATCCTTGCAGGATCCAGTCACCCAGCTGACCTGACTCTCCCTTCTGTACCTGGTCCAGTGACCCTCCTCCGCTCACCCATCTCCAGGACTGGAACTCATTCCCTCACAGGCCTGTACTCAGTTACCGAACAGTTCCATAATCGCAGAGTCCTTCTTTTTACTGAGTTGAAATCGCCTCCTGGTGACTTCCCCATACTGGCTGAGCCTACCTAGAATGTGTTCTGTCCCCTCTCACCAAGATGCTCTAAGTCGTGAATACTCAGATTCCACCATCTCCCCCTTGTTCCCACCCTCAGGGCAAGCAGCCCCGTAGCTCTTCTAGAGCTCCTCCCCACACCCTGGGAATAACCACACCCCGGGAATAACCACACCCCCAGGGGAAGTGGAACCCAGCTGGGTCACTCGCTCCCTCCACAGGTACTGTACTGCCACTGGGGAAGCCCTGGACCACTAGGTCCCTAGGCACCCGTGGTCTATCATGTGTAACCTCCCCTGGATTAAGGACCGATGGTCTCACGGCACAGGGAAGAGCACCCACTGCTTGGTAGGACATTCTGACCACCATGATGGAACTCGGGCGTCCTTATTGCTCGGAACCATGGAGCGGATGCTTTTTTGTTGTAAACTCAGCTTGCCTTGTCTTCACCACCTAGGACAAGGATGGCAAGCAGATTTCCACTTCAGATTTTTCAATTCTAGCAGACTAGCAGTGACTTCTTGGTGTACTGTGTTGAGAAGGATTCTGAGGTGCACTACTGGGACAGTGCACAGCAATCAGTTAGGGATGCCTGTCATTTCTGGTTTTAGCCAACAAAGCTGTCATGGTCAGTATTATCTCTGCTCTTCTTGCTAAAAAAGGAAACTTGGTATCTTGTCCTCAAACTTCACATTGGCTCCAATGGCAGTGACGTCCTTTCAAGAGTGAGAGATACCCTTTTCAGTGCAAAGAATTTCTGGGCAGCAGGGAAGTAGCAGCAACTACTGTAAGCTTGGCAGCCAGCTCCCTGGGCGCTGATGCCTCTCCCGACAACTCCCAGCCGGAGAAGCTGCCAAATGCCATCCGTGTGTCCACGGCCCAGGCTCCTCCATGGGAAGTGCCTCGGATAATGTTTGTGTCACTGGGAACACTGTTTGTCTGATGGCTGTTAAAGGGCCAGTGAGGACTTGGCGGCGGGCAGTGGGGACAAGGCGGGCGGAAAAGAGAGAAAAGGCAAACGGGAGGTTCCCATGTGGCACACCACTGGGTGACTGAACAGGAACACTACTCCATTCAGCAGCGGAGCCTGGCCGGAACCCTGCGCTCCCCTGCCAAGTGCCTCCAGAACACGTTAACTCTGTGACACCCAGCCACCAGGGCACGTGAAGCCCCACTGCCCACTTCCGCATCCAGGACAGACATCAGTAATTAATCACGCCACCCTTCAGAATCTTCAACACAGAACTCCTAACAGTCAGCAGCAACTGCTTAGACTGGCTTCTAACACTGATTCTTTTTTTTTTAATTGCCTCTCTTTCTTGGTGCTAAGGCCAAGCCAGATTCCTATGAGCCTTATGACCCTCGGCAGAAACTATACCCTCAGGGAGGAAGGTCTGTCTTGATGGATGTGAGACGAGCCATGACCACCAGCAGGGAGCGCCTGGCCCTGCTTTGGTACTGGCTCCAAAATGGCGGCTCTACTTCTAACTGTGGTTTTCACACCTTGTCCACAAGGGTCGGCCAAAAGCAGGTTACTCAGAACTTCACAACATAACTCAATGTCCCTGGATTCTAGAGGGGCAGTACTAGAAGAAGCTGAGATGAGAAAACTGAGGACCAACGAGAACCCATGTCTTCTGACACCTCAGCCAGAGCCAACTTTCTTCCCCACTCCATTTTTTCTCTACATCACACTGGCTTATGTCTTAGATTTGGGAAATAAGCAGACACTATTACTACTCTTTCCTCTTGAAGACGTACTTTATACTATTAATACTAGTATTACTGCTAATAAGAGCAAATCATTTACTAAATACAGTGCTGACTACTTGACACACATTATCTTACTGACTCTTCACGTAACTCCATTAATTTGCAGTTGTGAGAACTGAGGCACAGAGAGGTCAAGCAGCTTGCCCAAGGTACAACAGCTGTTCAGTCAGGGAGCCTGGATTCACTCGCAGCCCGAGGAGACACGCTCATTCTCTTGGCACAACACTCTTCCCTTCCACTGCCCCTCTCAGTTCCCACACCCATGAGATGGCCAGGACAGGGAGCACGCCTCATTTAACAGGAGAGGACACGAGGCCACAGCAAGGCCAAGGACCCTGTGCTGAGGAGCAGCTGAGCTGGAAACCAGTGTCTGTGGCTGGCATGAGGCCCTGGGTTCTCTCACTGTGCAGGCAGCTGGCCCAGTGAGGACTCCCAACACTTTCCCTGCATGGTTGCTCAAGGCTTTCCCCACTGAATCCTGACTGCTGGCCCCATCTCAAGATTCAGATTCAACTATCCTTCATTGGGCATCTCCTAGTGAAATACATAAATGGCTCCTGGGTCCAATGAGTCTTAGAACACATCCCCGAAGTGAGCAAGGGTATGTCCTCTCCTTGGTTAGCGAACATAGCCACAAGTGGCTAACACAGTCCTTGGCCTCGGGGAGTGAATACAGGTAGAGGGAGGTCACATACATGTCCCTCAAAAGACTCTTCCTTCATTCGAGACTGGGCTAAGTCACTCAGGCTCTTCACCAAATACTTCTGGCTCATCTCCCTTCAGTCACGTGGGACGATGGCATTTCCCAGCCTCCCTCACTCATCTGGCCAATGACTGATGGGAATTAGTACATCTCACCTCTGGATTGCAGCTGGCACGTGAGTCCCTCCAGAGCTGTCTTTCCCTCTGTCACCCGGCTGGCAGCATTCCAGATAATGGCTGCGCCCCCATCTGACCCACAGTAGACATGCAGTGGGACTAAGAAATAAATCAACCTTCATGGCTCTGAGAAACCAAGATCTCATTACTTTCGGGGTCTTTTGTTACTGTGGCATAACCTACCTCCACCCTGACAGCTACAACACCAAAGACAACACTGCTTCCTAAAAACCAGTACCTTGCTAGGTATTGTAGGGTAGGGGTAGGGAGTATAGAGGCACCGATCAGACAGGTCCTGGAGCTCTAACCTCCAGGAGCTGCCAATCTCATGGCAGAAGCAGGCACAGACAGGGCCCCTCTAATCCAATGTAGATAATGGGAAGTGCCCACTGAGGGGTGGGGCAGAAACAGATCACTTCTGACCAGAAGAGATCAAGGAAGGCTTACTGGAGGAGAGGGCACTGGAGCTGGCCTTGAAGGCGGGCTGGATTTGGGCAAAGCCATTCAAGGGACAGGGAACAGCATGAGCAAAAGATAGGAAATGCTGCAGAAGAACAGACTGTGCTGGAATGAAAGGACCGGAAAGACAGAAATAAGAAAGGGGGCTACGGGGCTCTGGTCATGGAGGACCTTGATGCTATGGCCTTGACCCTAGACACAGCGGGGAGTGACCTGGTCAATGTTTTGTTTTTGTCAAGGCCCCTGACAGCCAGAGTAGAGGGCAGGTGAGGGCAGAGAGACACAGAGGTATGGCTGTTAGTGGGATGCCGCTGCGACCCAGGTGGGGCTGGTGGCAGTCACAACCAACAAAGGAACAACAGGGAAAGAACGTGAGGCTGATTCCTGGTGGTTGGGAAAAACAGCAACAGGATTTGAGTCTAAACTTGGGGAAACAGACACAGGGGAGCCTCCCCACCGGTCCCTGCCTGCCATATGTGGGACAGGAGCCTGGAAGTCAGGAGGAGGCAGGGCTCAGCTGCCCCAGGAAAGACAGGCGGAGGGGAGGGGAGGTGGCCACACTTCTAAGAACACACTGAGCACGGGAATGCGGAGGAGGGCACAGGTGGAAATGGACGTCTGGTAACAGACTAGGCAAGGCCTCTGGGCCAGGCGGAGGCACGTGGACTTCATTTTATAGACCAGGGGTTGCAAACTGGTGGCCCATGGAATGACTCTGACTCAAAGATATGTTTTGTTTGGCAGATTTTAAAAGTCAAATTAGTCACCATCATTTAAAGCCAAAGGAATTTACATTAAGATTCTCATTTCTGGCATGTGTTGTATCCAGAGATCTGGCCACGCTGAGCCTGTCTTCCCACCCAGTTACCGTACGTGAGGCGCGGGTTCTCCAGCTGGACTCGATCCCCACTACCTGCCTGTCTGGCTCATCTCCACCACGCTAAATAAACGAATCTGTTAGGCCTGGGGCATTTGCATTTGCAAACCTGGCAGGAGTGCAGGCAGCCCCTGAGGGGTATCCCCCGGCTCAGGCTGTAAAGTAGTAGGGAGAGATGGTTTCTAAGCTCATTTCCACTGAGCTCCTCTGAGTCTGGCCCAGACCAGAAGAGGAGGGGATGGGGCCAGTCTGCCACTCATCTGATACTGACTGGACACCCAGTCTGGGCAGGACCCGTCCTGGGAGCACAGGAGAAAGAAATGCAGATGGAAATTTAGGACACCGAGCAATGCGGGCTGTGCTGGACCCACCTGGGGTGTGGGAGCCCCGCGGCGGGAGGGATCGTCGGGCCTGCAGAAAGTTTCCGGCATTTGGGTTGAGCAAAGTCTTAAAGGACGGGTAAGGTTTTGCCACATCAGGCAGAAAGACAAGAGCTCCAGAGCAGAACTGAGCAGGCAGAATCAAGTGTAAGGAGCTGAGGCCCTTCCCGGAGGGCAGAGGGGAGGCCCCAGAGGCACTCTCAGCCAGGACCGGCAGGGATCCCAGGCCTCTCTCCCCAGGGCTCCAGCCCCACGTTCCCGCCCTGGCCCCCAGTGGACAGGCGCTCACCCAGGGTCTGCTGGTTGCGGACGCCGCCGATCACCACGCAGATCTCGGCGGGCACGTCGCCAGTGCCGTCCTTGCCGACCGCCTTCTTCTCCTCCTTGGCCTCACCTTGCCAGATCACCTCCTGGATGTAGTCGTCGGGCAGCTCCGTCTTCACCTTCACCTCCGTCATCGTTCCCTGCTCGGCGCTCAGCGAGGCCTCGGCCGGCACAGCCTCTGGCCCCTCCACTTTGGTGGTCTTCTGGCTGCGCTTCAAGCGCTCCCTGGGGAAGAAGAGTCTGCTCAGTGTGGACCCCAGACCCATCCCAGACCTACCTGGGAGCCCGCCAGCCCAGGGGGCTAGAAAATGTTCAGCTACAGACCCACCTCTCGTGTGACCCTTACTTTGACACACACGCCCACGGCTGCCCCTGAGGGTCCTCAAAGGAACCCTGGGGCTCCACGGAACATAGTCTGCAAATCAGTGGGCTAATATGGCTCCAGCTCCACCCATTTTGCAGATGAGGAGACTGGGGTCTAAATATGCCCAGTTACTCTTTTAAGTGGAGCTACATGAAACCTACAAGGGCAACTCTGGCTGACTGACATCAGCTCTTGTCAAACATCTATGTGCACATAAATCAGCTGAGAATCTTGGTAAAATGCAGATTTAGTTCAGCAGGTCTGGGGTTTGGCCTGAGATCCTGCACCTGCTAACAAGCACCCAGTTGAGGCCAGTGCTGCCAGTCCTCAATCAGCAAGGGTTTCGGAGACTCAATGTGTGCAGAGCGTGTGTGCCCCTCCCTCTGCTCCTTGGCAGAAGGGGCGGGGAGCTTATCCAAGCTCTGCCCTGCTTCTGCTTTATAGATGAGAAAACACAAGCCAAAAGGCTCACTTGGTGGGGATGTCACAGAGCCAACACTTGGCTCTAGGTGGCTCTTCAAACATTAGAAAACATATAGTTAACACACTCAGTTTTGAGGTGGCCAGGACTCACGTTACTGAACCTCCTTTATGAGGGGGGCACTGAGGTCCAGAGCAGAGCTGTGACCCGCCCAGGGCCACACGCAAGACCGGTGGCAGCCCAAGGCACAAAACCAGGTCCCTGTCGTCCATCATGAACCTCCTCCCTCTTTCAATAAGACGCTGCATTATCATAAGGGCCCCCCACCCTTCTTGCAGGGAGATCGTCACCGTGACTCTGTTTGAGGTGGAGAAGGGAGAATGGGATGTGATGAACCGAGACAGAAAGAGCACTGGGGTTTGAAGTCACATCATCCCAGAGCCAAACCTCAGAACAGCCACTCTTTTTTTGTTCTGTTTTGTTTATATCTAGTTTTACTGAAGTATAATCAGTTGACAATGTTGTGTCAATTTCTGGTGCACAGCATAATGTTTCAGTCATACATGAACATACATATATTCGTTTTCATATTCTTTCTCAACATAAGTTACTACAAGATATTGAATACAGTTCCCTGTGTTACACAGTATGAACTTGCTGTGTATCTATTTTATATATATTAGTTAGTACCTGCAAATCTCAAGAACTGCCACTCTTGAATTGTGGGTTCCTGCATAAGTGATCTCACCCCTCTGAGCCTCAGGTTTCATACCCATATAATGGGGATAAATGCAGCATCTACCCCACAGCACTGTGAGCAGACACAAGGCAATGTCTTCAAGGGACCCAGAATAATGGCCTTGGTGGAGATGTTCTAGGGGTACCTACCGTCTATATGGGGGGCAGGAGAGGGAAGTGTGCAGAGGATGCAGGGGAAGGTCTTACATGGCAGAGATTTTTAAGTTCAAAGGCTGTGGAGGTAAATCAACAGGGTTCAAATATCAGTGCTGCTACTTCCCAGCTGGGGACCCTGAGTGAGCCCTGATGCTCCCTGAGTCTGTTTCCACACCAGTGAGGCAGGGAGCCCCACACCTGCTCAAAAGGCCTCAAGAGGGTTAACTGCAAAAATGGACGCTGTCTGGAGTGACTCGTAGAGTAGAAGTGACAGAAGTTGCTGAAACTCCTGTTCCCTAGCTGAGACCACGTGGGTGCTACGATCGGCCAGTCCCTCCCACCTGAGGCTCCCTGGGAACGGAGCTCAGGGCCACTGTCCGAACCGCCATGCCAGCTGGGAAAGAACACAGCCCATGAGTCCCAGGGGGCTGCTGGAGAGGCAGGCAGTTGAGGATTCTCCCTGGCTGGTCCCAACTCTGGCTGCACAAGGGGTTACGTCCCAAGCTCAGGGCAGATGTGCTTCCTAGGACCAGCGAAGAGGCCCACCAGGGCGGAGGGGTCCCACCTGCCAGTGTTCCCCTGCCCCCTACTCAGAACACCCTCACCCCATGGCCTGTGAGCACCTGACCATCCCCTCTGAACAGACTCAGTGTCCTTTCCTGCCTTCAAGGACCTCAGTAGCATCTGACATCCTGGCAGGAGGGAGGACATGCTGGAATCTGACAGGCTGGGCATCTGCACACCCTGCAACCTCAAGCAAGAGACTCCGCTCTCTAAGCCTCCATTTCCTTGTCTGCTGAAGGGGTACCATGATCCTTGCCAGCACAGCGGCAGGAGATGAGCCAGGGAGCTGCACGGAGTGGATCTCCATGGACGGCAACTGCCATTATGATGACATTGGTCCACGATGACATGCCTGTCTCTGGGAAGCCTTCCCCTGCTTGCCTGAGATGGACTAGACCCCATCTCTGAATGCCCTGCGTCGCACAGGTGACTCTTGCGCCAGGAGCTACGCGAGCCGTCCTCTCGCCCACGGGCCTGACACATGACCATCCACTCCCTTAAGCGTGACACCTCCGAGCCCTCGCTGCATTGAGTATATGGGCAACTTCTCTTCCCCTAGCTTCACATTTTAGATTTACAAGCCCAAATGTTGCTTTTCTCGGATGCCCTACATTTAATTAGGTGCCTTAATAACAATGGAATTGCAGAAGTACTTATATCACTTTGAATTAGTGGCGCAGCTCCTTCTAACTTCTCTAAAAAAAATTTTTTTTTCATATATCACTTTTTAAAATAGAGCTCATTATTTTAATTATATCCATTTAAATGTACAGTGGAGCCCTTGGATATTCTCAGCACGAATCATTAGGTATATTAGTGAAAAAGCACTCGGAATCTATCTACACGCTGACACTCCATAATCTATTCTATTTGTGTCGCTGTAAAATAGATTTATATATAGATAACTACAAAATAGTTGCTCAAGATATGCTATGAATTTTATATTTAACTTGAGTCACACTTCCACATAAAATCTAAAGTCAGGCACTAAAAAGGATATTTCTCGGTAAGTACATGCTGGCCGTGGTCACTGGTTACTGCTCATGCCAGAATGCTAGGAGAGATGCCAGACCCAGTGGGTCCCCTGCCCAAGGAATTTCCTATGAGCCCTGGCCTCTCACTAAGGCAATGGTTCTCAGAGTATGTTCCGTGAAGGCCTAGGGGTTCCATAGCAATGGCCCAGAAACACCCATGAGACCTGAATGAGGGTGGTGGTGGTGACTAGGCCCTCAAGAACCCTATTCTCTCCATCTTTGATACCCACAGCTTTGTTTTTAGCCTGATGTGTATATATTTATATTATATATATATTTGGGCTTTCTCTAGTGGGGTAAATGGTGCCCTCGCCCAAAAAAAGGAAGGCCCATGCCCTAATCCTCAGAACCTGTGAATGTGAACTCATTTGAAAAAAGGCTCTTTTCAGAGGTAATTAATTTAAGGATCTTGCGATGAGGTCATTTCGTATTATCTGGCTGGGCTCTGAATGCAATGACAAATGTCCTTGTAAGGGACACACAGGAGATTTGACACAGAAGAGGGGACAATACAGAGAAGAGGAGGAGTCAGCACGACCACAGACTGGAGTGATGTGACCACCAGCCAAGAAATGCTGCAGCTACTAGCAGCTGCAGAGGCAAAGAGCAGATCCGCTCAGCGCCTCCAGATGGCGTGTGACCCTGCCAGAGACCTTGACCTCAGACTTCTGGCCTCCGGAACTGTGAGCGGAACTGTGAGGGATCAAATTTCTTTTGTTTCAAGCTACCCAGCTTGTGGTCATTTGTTACAGCAGCCACAGGAAACTAATACATTCATTACGCATGACTCAACTGGAAGAAATAGCCCTAAAGTGGTTAACTCTGCAAACCACTGCCCTCTGCTGCCCCCAAAGTATTCTTCTGCTTCGTTCTTACTCATCCCAGTGACTGCGTCTGGCCAGTCCAATGTACCCACAGAGCCTGTCCAGGGAGGTTTCAGAAACAAGTCTCTCCCTCTGGGCCTCACCAGAGGGTTCAGTGCTTACACCCACCCCCATCATGTCCGGCCCTCACAAGCGCCCCATGGCCAGATGGGGAACCGAAGCACAGGATGGGGCTCGTGTCTGTTCTGTTCACGTCCACATCCAGCCCGAGCCTGGGGCCTGCTGCCCACCAGGAACACGAATGGCATATCCAAGGTCACATAACCTCTGGTGATAAGCTTGTCCGAAAACAATTCTTCTGACTCCCACCCTGGTGCCGTTCCCACTAAACCCTGCAGCCAGGACAACACAACCAAATAACTTTTCAGTGGACTGGAGGTCCAAAGACAAATGCCATTTCTGGCCCTGTTGGAGGAAGAGTGCCACAGGGAGTCAGTCAACTTTCTGGGTACAATTTCTACATCATTCCACCTAAAACACTAATGACTGAAGTTCTACCAACTCACAGTGTTTATGAGAAGTTCTCAGCACGCTGGATGTCAGTCCTGCCCCCGTGTGACTCGGTTCTCCCATCTGCAAGACGAGTGAGCTGGAATCTGAGATGTCTAAGGCCCTGGGAGAGGCCAGACTGCCACCCAGCAGGTGTGTGTGTCTCCGTGCACAGGATCAGGAGCCGTGTGTCCATATGTGTCCCAAGTCTCAGCCTGAGGGTCACCACCTCCTCTAAAGGCTGCCTCTTATCTACTATGTTACTTTAACCACCTGAAACAATGCTAAGGGTCGGGGGGTGGGGGGCGAAGTCTCTAACTCACACTGTGTAAGTAATGACTTGGTTAACTCCCTCTAGAATAAAACTCCATTAAAAGTCTCCACTCATTACAAATGAGGGTTAACTGGCCTCAAGCTGAGCTTTTTTTTTTAATTAAAAAAAATTGGGAGGGGTGGTAATTAGGTTTTACTTATTTATTATTATTATTTTTTAATTGCAGTACTGGGGATTGAACCCAGGACCCCATGCATGGTAGGCATGTTCTCTACCACTGGGCTATACCCTCCTCAAGCTGAGCTTAAATACACCCTCCATGAACGCACAGATGTATGGGGTGTTTAATGAATTAAGACACATTCAGCCATGTTTACGGCGCTGCAGAGGCTGACCACTGACCCAGTCCTCCAGCTCTACCCATCTGCCCAGGTACTGATGATCTGAGTGCAAATGATTATCTATTTGCAGATGTCGGCAGGCCCCTCCTTGGCAAAGCTTCCTAAGTCCGTGAGGCTTCTGCTCCCCTATTCCACTGAGCTAATCTTTCCAAGGCCTTCTGAGACCTCTGTGCCACTCAATCCAGCCATCCCTTCTTGGTCCTCGTTGAATTCATCCTCCACCAGCAGCCTTGGACAAGCTCCCCTCTTCTCTCCTCCTCCAACTCTTTCTTCATTGTTCTCAGCCTGCCCGATGGGACTCCCACCTTCCAGCCACTCCTCTGCCTTCTGCTGATTCCTCTCCACCAACCCAACCCTTACATGCCGACCTGTCCCAAGGATCAATTCTAGAACCTCTTCTATTTTTATTCATATTGACTTCCTTGGTGATTTCACCTAGATTCATGCTTTTAAATATTAACTATGTGATGATGAATCCCAAATCGTATCTCCAGCCTGGACCTCCCGCCGAACTCCAGACCTGCATGAACAACTGCCCGCTGGACACCTCCGCCTGGAAGCCTAGCAGGCACCCAGACTTACAGGTCCAACCAAGCTGCGGAGACACCTGTCGTCCCAAGTCAGAAAAACGATTCTTCTGATTCCAGTCCCAGTGCCCTTCCTGCTAAACCCTGCAGCCTAAGAAGCAGTCATCAGATAATGGCCGTCTTCTCCATTCTCCTCTGTTTCAGTTAGTACATTTCCACCCATCCTGCCCCTCAGACCCAGACTCTGGAATCACCCTTGTCTCTTCCCTACTAATGAATCCACCATCAAATCCTACCAACCCTGCCTTCAAAATATGTCCAGAATCTGACCACGCCTTACCACCCTACAGCCACCACTCTCATCCAAGCTGCCTTCCCCTTTCCAGCCTTGTATAATAACTCAGAGCCTGTTTCCTGGCTCCCACCCTGGCCCAATGCCCCAAAACTGATGCTCAATACAGCAGCCAAAGCAATCTCGTCCACCAACACTGCCTCTTGTTCCCTCCCTGCTGGCCACACCAGCCTCCCTGCTGTCCCCCGAGCGCACGAGCAAGCTCCTGCCTCGGGCCTCCGCACTAGCCCTTTGCTCTGCCTGGAGTATTTCTCCCCCTCCTCAGATGCCCCCATGCCTAGGTCCCCACTTCTTCAGGTCTTTACTCAAACACCCCAGTGCTGGCGGAGATGTCCTTGACTATTTGGTCCAAAATGTCACCTGTCTCACCCCAACCCCAGCCTTCAGTACTCCACGTGCCCCCTTTCCTGCTCTATGCCTTCTGCTCAGTATTTACTCTACATTCACCTCACATGCTTGTTACCACTCGTCCTCTTCACTGTGTGTCTCCCCAGCTAGAACAAGAGCTACAAGAGGGCGGGGACTTTGCCCCCTTGGTTCACTGTCACATGCCAGCACCTACAGCAACGCCTGGCCAGGGGAGGCAGTTAATGAGCACCTGTTCACTGAAGGAGCCATGAACGAGCCCCGCAGAGCTCAACGCTACTGTGGCCTTCGAGGCATCTCCCCCCACCCCCCCGCAAGAATCACTGAAGGTCGAACCTCTCCAGTTCATGTCCAGAACTGAAGGCAGCAACACCCCATCCACCCAGCCCTTGGTCTAACATGGGCCGGAGACGTTTCACAGGAGCCAACTTGCTGAATAAGTGAAGCATCACAGCCTTATCTTTATCCTGTGCAATGGAAATTTCCTCAAATGTAACATACTCTTCCCACTTTCTGAAATGCCAAAACTGAGCAGCCTGGTAACGCTCTGATACCAACTCTTTTTTCCTGCAGCTTTACTTGAGATATTATTGACACATAACATGTAGGTTTAAGGTGGACAAGGTGATGATCTGATATTGCAAAATGACACCAACTCTTGAAGATGCAGGGACACTGTTACATTATCCATTCAAAGCCTCGGGCCCTCAGGCAGGGGCGGGGTGCTGAGGTCTGAGTGCCATCTGCCTGCAGCCTCAAACAAGTGGTTCTGAGAATGTCTCTTCTGCTTCTAACGGGTTCCAGCTCCAAATCTGTCTTCCAATTCCACCTGGTTCTGGGAGACCTCCAGAGGCAAAGGATCTACCCTACTGCTTTCTGTCTCCCTGTGCCTGGCCGCTGGCAGGTGTCACCTAACATCTGCTGAATGGTACAAACAGAAAACGCCGGCATGTAAGGCGAAGATGCTGGTGGCAATGAAGGCACTGATGTGAATGATGCCAACAACTGGGTGAATGAGGACAGGGCAGCGACGGCGTACTGAGCGAGCAGCTAGGACGGGCCGGGCACGGCGCTTCCGGCCGTGGGCACGGACCGTCTCCCCGATCTTCACAATGCCTGTGAACCACATGGCAGGTAGTTTTGCTTTACAGGTAAGAAAATCAAGGATCAGAGAAACAGAGTGACCTTTTCACCATCACATAGCTTTCTAGTGACAGAAGCTGCATTCAAAATAGGTCTGCCCAACTCCAACCCCTGGGCTTTTAATCATTTGGATGACTTCTGGGTTTTTTGTCAAGAGAAGAGAAAATAACAAAAAACACTTGTTGAATGAGTGAGCAAATAAATGACTGAGTGACCAGAAGCTCTAAGATGGGGAACACATGTATTCCCTTGTATCCTCCTGTATCCTGAGCATCGTGACCAAACCGGCGAGATGCTTAAAACACTACCATGGAAATACAAAACAAAGGAATGAGGGTCCCCTCTCTGCCACAGAAAGAAGTCCTTGGACTCTGTGTTCTGCGTTGACCTCCAACTCTCCTTGAGCGCCCGAGAATGGCTGCTGTGAACACACCTGCCCTTTGGATGTTCGAGTCTCCTCTTTCTATCCACAAGGACAGGAATCACAATGGAGAGAAAGGTCACAGCTTACCACTAGTCTGGAAGGGTCAAAGAGAGAACCTCCAGCAAAACCCACTTCTACAAACCCCAGTAACAAGACCTGTGTCTGTATTTACTATTCCACCCGGGACTCCAATCTTCACGCCATCCCCCGTGCCTTAATAACCCTCAGGATTATCTGTACCTCCACCTCCGTTATGTATCACTGATATATTTTAATAAATAGTCAAGTAGAGAAGATTAGATTAATAGATTAAAACTGTTAACCTATTAAACAACTCTTACAGTCTAGAAATTCAAAATAACCTACAACGCATAAATACATCATTAGTTTGAGATCATTCTTAGGCACTTAATTTTCTGCAGTGTATGGTGTCAGTCAGCCACGACGCTGGGTAATACCGCCGGCTCACAAAGACAGCATGAAGATTTAAATATTAACAGTTAATTCCCTGGTTAATTTAAACCTAAAACAGAGAGAAGCGAGAGTCTTGAGCAACGCTGTCAAGTCACAAACTCCAACACTTAGCAGGTGGGGCCCTCCAAGGAAAGTGGGAGCTTCTTCCAAAGGTGTCCTGGGAGCTTGGCTCAGGTCAGTAAAAAGAATGACTGACTGCTAACAGCATCTTAAACAGATGCACTGCCTTCATTTTCCGATGGGTCTGACCGTGGTACGATACACATCAGCTAGCAGCCTGCACCACTCTCTGAAGATCCACCTTGCCGTGTCTCCCCTCACACAACGGCTGGGATGCTGCAGATGCAGGAATCCTCACTCACTTAGAGTGAATGCCCTTGACAGGCAGGCGGGGACAGGGAGGCCACAGAGGGGCCCATGCCCACTGTGGCCTCCGGAGACTCCAGAGAGCAGTTAACTCAACCATGAAGAGGGAGGCCATACCTAGGCTCTCATACCGGACGTGTCAACAGAGGATGGATACACCCCTTCTGCCGCTGGTGTTATTTTTTTGCTGAGGCTGTGACTTGGCAACCATCCCTTTCTCTTGCTCTCTGATGCCCAACTCCTCTGGCCATTCTCCTTGGAATGACACGTAAAGCAGCTTCCCAACAGGACTGCTCCCCTTCCATCCCGCCCACGTGGACAACTGATGCGTGGAGCTGCCCAGCTGCTCAGAAAGCTCTGCCATCCCTCCAGTGGGCTCCCCTGTCCTGGCATTACATCTGGCCTCGGCCCCTCCACTCTCCATCCATCAGTCCTTGAGATTAGCTGATAACAGACTGAGGTTTGGAATGCACAGCCAGCTCTGTCCACACACTTGAATGTGAGCATCCAGGTCAAGACATGCTGCCCCTGGACACACAAATGAGCCTCCTCACTACATAGTCCAATCCTCCCAAAGGGTCTGAGGATGATAAACGAGATGTGTGGACCATTGCCACAGCTTCCTAACCTGCCCACGTCCCTCTTTCCAGGCATGTAAGCAGGGATGGTAACACTAACCGCTAAGGGTTGTTTAGAAGATTAAAGCAGAGAGATGTTCATAAGGTACCCAGCACAGCACCATACATGGAACGGGACTCAATAAATATTAGTTCTTTTCTCCTGTCCTTACCAAGCACTCGTTAGGCAAAATGTGAAAAGTTCGATCAAACTGTAAAAAAGGTGACCTCTTAGGCTCTAGGTGAAGAACTATAAATGAAGGTGGAAGAGGAGTATTTAGCCCTTGTGAAAACCAAAGAAGTGGAAGGCACGGCCCTTCTAAGTGCAGCAGCGATGAAGAGGAGGGAGGGGTGGGGACATTCACTGCAGGATGAGAAGGTGGGCGGGATCAAGATGGTAGGTGTGGATGTACCGACGTTCTTCACCACCATGGATTGTGTGGAACACACAGGAGGCTGAAGCCGAGGGTGAGGATTTTTTCTCTCGTGTTGGCGGAGCCAGACAGACAGGAAGGCTATGGACATTTCTTGAGGTGCTTTCTCAGATCGAGGGCCTTTGCCATTAAGGGGCTCAAGAAGCAACCACATCAGACCATTGTGGCTCCATTCTCAAGACCGTGCTTCTTCAGAACAAGACAAGAGTTGTGGATGCTCTGAACTGGTAACTGCAGCTTCACAAGGAGAACTTTCTTAATTTGCTGAGGAGCACAGGTGGGAAAGTCGAGATGGGTGGGTGGACTGAGCCCAGGCTCCTGAGAGACCCTAATCACTTCCCTTAGCTGGACCACCCTGAGCTTGAGAACCACAGTGCCATTTGGAAAAAGGATTTGCCGATTTTGATGTACATGACTTACAGTTTGCATGCTGTCTCCAGAGAACAAATGATGTGTCTGAATTTTCTAGAATCTGCCCCATTTGTGCAGAGCCTAGGTTTAACAGTAACTAATTAAGCAGAGAGTGAACTCTGCCCACCAGAAAAGCAAGTGGCCCCTTTGGAGTAAGTATATGAACCCTCAGAGTCAGCCTGCAATTTATGATTTGTTTGTAGCCAAACTACCCCAAGTTTGGTAGGGTGAGAATACACATTTTTGGAAATCAAATGAGCTCCAATAACAGGAGCATAAACCTAGAGTCAAGGGGAAGGTGCAGCCCGACTGAAATACACACAAAGCTGGTTCTCAAATAATTCATTCTGCTAACACTGCACTGGTCACTGACACGCATCGGGTCTTCTGGTACTATTGAATTTTTTGCAATTAAGGTTAATTTGTTTAGGGCTACTTTAATTTTCCTGCTGAAAACCAAAAAGCTAAACAAGAAGACAGTATTTAAAAAATAATTATACAGCTGTACACATGTGGTTATGACATGAAACTGTCCAGTAGTGGAAAATCTTGGCTTAAAGGACAAGACTCAGGCCCAAAGCCATGTGACTATTTGGGTGACCCTGGACAAGTCGATTTCTCAGTTTCCTCTGAAGAGGAGGAAGCCAATCGTTGCCTTAGGGGCCACTGGGAGGAACAAATGAGATGTGCAAAGTGCAGGACACAGGAACTGGATCACGGTAGGCCCTTGACAGACATGAGTGCCACCCCCACCCTGTCGCTACCTCTAGCCTCTCCCTGATTTTCAGGCTCTAGGAGAAATCAATCTCCACCCACTGTCTTCTAGGAATGGAATCCAGCATGGCGGTGGTGATGGTGGTGATGAAAACAAGATTTACTGAGCACCTACTACAGACCAGGCAGTGTGCTCAGGGTACACGTTATCGTTATTACTGCACTTAGTCCTCAGGACACTACTGAGGGAGGTACGAACATAATGCCCATTTTACAGACCTTAGAGGAAAGTGAGGTCTGGTCACTAGCCTGCGGTCACACAATCGGGCAGTGGCTAGTGCTGGGATCTGAGCCCAGGCAGTCTGGGCTCAGCAAGGGGGTGAGTTAGGTGCCCAGCAGACCAGGCACGGAGAGTGGGAGCCAGGGGGGCCATGCAGCTCCACTCTGGGGCTCTCGCAGGACCAAGCAGGAAGCTATGCATTTTGGCTGCAGGACTCACAATATGCTTCACTGAACTGGATTCCTCAGGCCTCAAAAAAATGGCCTTTCAGAAACTCCCCTCCAAGCCTACCTTTGAAGGTCCTGCTGCTCCTGAACCCTTGGCAATACCTCTTATAACATCTTGCTCCCTGAAATTTATTCTCTTCTTGGCAACGAGAATGATCCTTTTAAAACCAAATCATATCATGTTACTCCTTTGCTCAAAGTCCCCAGTGGCTCCCCATCTCACACAGAGTAAAAGCCAAAGTCCTGACAAAAGTCTCCAAGGCCTTATGCATTCGTATCAGCCTCCTTGCATTTGCTCCAACACAATGCATACACTCCTGCCTCAGGGCCTTTGCACCTGTGTTCTCTCTGCCTGGAATGTGCTTCCCCCCAGTGACTGCTTGGCTCAGTCCCTCATTTCCTTCAGATCATTGTTCAAATGTCACCTTCTTGCTGATGCAGTACTCCTCCTGGCTCTCCCCATCCCCTTCCCTGCCTTCCCCCATAGAACTTCTTACCATATGACATACCATGTTAAGTGTTTATTAAGTCTCCTCCACTCCCACTAGAACATCAGCTCCACAGGACCAGGCATTTCTGTTTACCACTGTACTTCCAGCACCTAGGTCAGACCCTAGCACTTAGTAGGTGCTTAGTACGTGTCTGCGGAATGAATGAATGAGACTTAGTCTTATCACCTCCTCCCCCACCCCAATCTCCCTGTCTACAAGATCCTGATCACTTATTAGGCAAGTATTACATATGGTGAACAAGAGTCCCTGAATGTCTTCTATCCCTGGTTTTCTCATCTCCAAATGAGAGGGTTGGACCAGATTATCTACAGAGTCCTGCCAGCTCTGAAAACCTTCAACTGACCAAAAAAGAAAAAAAAAAAGCCATAAGTCTTCATTATAGCAAGGCTGCATTTACTTGATTATAAAGACTGCATTTCCTTTAGAACTGTCCACAGTTAAGGCCCACAGCCCTCCACGCCTCTTAGAGTTAAGTGAGCTTTGGCTGCAGTTGCGCTGTGTGATTTGTAACCTGCCCACCAGGTTAGCATTAACCTCAAGCGCTGGGATCACTGGTCTTATAAAATCAACCCAGGTTGGGTTACAGGGAAGTAAACCAAACCACATCTGGTTGTTTCTTAGGATCAGAAACACCACCTCTCCTTGTCCCCCTCAATTTAACACTAATTCCTTAGCAGCCCATGCTGTTGGTTTTGGGGTTTAGCCAGAGGCCGTCTGGAGAAGGAAGAAAATTAGGTGTTCTGGGCCAAAAGGAAGGCACTGGGACGAAAGCACACCCCGGTGTGACAACAGAGCATGCGCAGCACAGCTGGGAGGTGGGAGCGGAGGCCCAAGTCAGAGTCACAGGTCCCTCAAGGTCATTCCTGACCAGGGCCTTCCAGCCTAACTCTGACTTCAGGAGCCTCTGGCCTGTTTCCCCATCTGAAACAGGGACTGCGTGAGTCTAACGCTCCATAAACTACCTATGACTCTAAGCCCCACCTGGCCAATCTAACCCAACTAGGGTCAAATTCACCGGTGGCATCAGCTAAGGACTATGTCAATGTTCTCCAGATGTTTAATGCAGAATTCACTTCTCACACTGGATGCCGGGTCACTCTACAATAACACTGCTTTGGTTTTTCAAAGATGCTCTATTAGCTATAATGACAGAATCAATATAAATTCACTAGTGAGCTCCTTTGGAGTCCCTGCCTTCTGGCCCAGCTGTCAGCCAGTGGTACAGCCCAGGGCCCCTAGCCGGCTTCTCTAACCTCTGTTAACTGATCACTTCCTGCAGAGAAGCAGGAGGGTGCAGTGGTTAAGCACCTGCATCAGAGAAGTCAGGCCTGGGTAGGCATCCTGGCTGTGCTGCCCCCCCAAGTTGGGCAGCCTGAGGCCTGGACACCTCTCTGTGCCTCAGCTTCCTGATCAGTAAAGTGGGAATAATCAGAGCACCCTTCACAGAGCTGTTACCAACGTTACATCAATTAACAAATGTAAATCACCTACACCCATGCTAAGTATAACTAAATGGTAGTTATTATTATTAGGAATTTTTTTCTTTACACCTCAATCCATACACTAAGGTTTGGGCTAGCCCTTCCTGGTGCCTATTATGGCACCATGGTAATAACACGGGACTCCATCACTAAGTATATGCAGACGTAGGTTAGTCAGGGATAGCAAACAGATGACACACATGCCCCCCACCCCCCATCCCCTGACCAGGGCAGACATCTCTAATCTATCTCAGCACTCTTCTCACTGACTACAGCCTTGGGCTGATAAGACTTGATTCAGAGCTTCAAGAACCTATTACCACTGTGGGGAAACCCACCTGATGTCCTCTGATCACCGTGCAGAGATGCTGGGATGGGAGAGACTCATGCATCAGAGAGTGAGGGCAAGGACCACATTCATACACAAGTGATGAGTGAGGAAGGGAACTCTGTCCCTGTTCACTGCTGTAGACGCAGCATTGTGAACAGTGCCTGCCACAGCAGCAGACACTCAAATGTCTGTTGAGTGAATAAATTAGTATCTAATCTCTCTGAGTCCACAGCACAGAGACTGGGTCTAACCTAGCAGGTGCACAATGAACATGGAAGGACAGTGGGGGAAGCTGGCTAGGCCCTCGCTTGAGAACAGTGTTGCAGAAGCAGAGAAAGCACTGGCTTAGGCAGGATCAGAGCCTGACACCGCCACTCACTCAGCACGTGACCCCGAGCGGGTCGTCCTTTCCTCCCTATGTGTACAAGGAGGGGAGGGACTAGACCAAGTCCAAAACCCTTCCAGACATTCAGAGCCAGGAATCACTTCTAGGCACTGCCAGTCTAGGGGCCCCATAGGCCACAGCCTCATATACTGTACTTACAAAATTCCACTACCAGGGGTCCAGGAGACAAGCACAAAGACGTTGGGCAGCTGCTGGCCGCGCGGGTCACTGGATTCCCAGGCACAAGCCCGGCCATCCAGCCCTCCATTCCAGCCCATACTCCTGGCCCCTACATCACCCCAGATCTTCTCCTATCTCGTCCAGTGTACCCATCCCATAAACATTCACCGAGGGCCGGCCCACGGCCGTGAACAAGACAGACATGGCCTCCGCCTACAGAGCTGGCACTCAAGAGGCAGAGAAAAGCACACACAGACGTGGAATTACTGAAAAGCACAAACAGGCCACAGGTGGGGGTAGGGGGGTAGGGAAGGCTTCTTGGAGGGAAGGACAGAATAGAGACCTGAAGGATGGAAGGTCCCTGATCATGGGATGACCAGGGAAAGGAACCTTCCAGGCAAAGGAACAGCAGTTGCGAAGGCTCTCAGGCCAGGGGTTAGCAAACTAAGCCCACGAGTGTGTTTATGTATTATCTACGGCCACTCTCAAATTACACTGGCAGAGCTGAGGAGCCACTGCAGAGACCTGTGGCCTGTACAGTGTGAAATATTTACTATCTGGCCCTTTACAGGTAAAGCCGGGTGACCCCGGGTTTACACTGTTAGATAAATAAGAGAAGGTCAGGGGAGCTAAAACAGACTGACCAAGGGGGAGACTGACAACAAGGAGACTGGGGAGGCGGGTGGAAGCCAGGCCATGCTGTCGTGGGTGGGTGACAGTGGCCTCCAGCCTGGTGCCACTGCCTCCATTCTAACCAACTCCAATCCACCCTGCAGGATCACCCAGGGTGATCCCCCTGAAACACAGCGCTGAAGAACACCTTACTCTTCTGCTCCCATGCTTTCCCAAAGCATGTTCCAAGGAACACTGGCTTCATGGGATAAACTTCAATAGAAGCATTCCATAGTTAAGTAAGTTGGAGAACATGTCATTCTTCATGATGCAGCAGCCGAGATGCGATTCAAGCCCAGGTCCCTCTGCCCAGTCCTGTGCATCACCTCTAAGTCCTCCCCAACTTGAGCGGCCAAGGCCAGTTCAGGATTGCGTCATCCTTAGATGCCATTCCCAGGTGCCCACAGAGGGTACCAGCAGGGCTGGAAAGTGCTACCCACGAGCTCAGGGAGCTGTTCCAGACTATCCACCCTTCCAGGTGGTAGGGGAGGACCAGAGAGAGGCGGCCGTTAGGCACGAGACAAGGGCGAAGGAGCGGGGTGCAGGAGGGGACGGGGAGGGGGCGCATACCTGCTTGCCGTGCTTTTCCTTCCAGCTGCACTGGCTCCGTCAGCCTGCAAAGGAAACCCAAAACACCTACATCAGCCAAGGGGAAGACACAGATGCTACCCACCGCCACCCTACCCAGCTCCCGCTCAAACACCAGCCTTCAGAGGGGTGAGCTGGCCACAACCCCCTGCTCTATCCCTCCAGGCCGGAAAAATCTGCCCCCAGTGGTTAGAGGGAGTCAGGACAGCCACCGCCCCTCCCCTCCCCTCCCCTCCCCCCAACTTGCTGGGCCCTTTAAATCCAGCTGAGCACCCATTGCCAACACAAACCCAGCAACCACAGAGCCCCGGGGACTTGGTGAAAAGTAAGTAACCAGCTAAATCTGAGATTGAATTGCACCATTTTTATTTTCAGCTGGGATTTCCAATAAAACAGTAGCCGCAGATTTATTCCTACCAACTGGAGGGGGAAAATCCTATTATGTTAAAATATTCTGTCCCCCAACCCTGCAAGCAGTGGGAGGCAAGAGAGCACCGGTTGGTAATCTCTTTTATTTGGGGGTAGAGGGTGGGGAGACAAGGCTGACCAAATGAAATTTTCAGAAATCATAAAATTCTGGTTCAGATGGAGAGACTGAGGCCCTGGGAGAGGAGGGGCAGCCTGAGTCTCACAAGGACCGAGGGACAAATACCCGGGGATCCTGACTCCTAGGCCAGTGCTGGGGGTACCTCGACGCGGAGGCTGCGGACATGGGGAAAGCGCCTGGGTTCTCCACCACCCCTGGTTGGAGACGCATTCCCTAGCGTTGTCAAAACATTTATAATAATAGTAATCACAGTTAGAACAATGCAGGTTCCAAACTAGCACACATGTGTTTCCAAATTCAGAATCCTTCCAATTTTAGAAAGGTAATGTGGCACATGTATTCTATAATTTGAAATAACTCTGCCAGGGTCTGGGGAGCCCCCAGGACTCAAGCACGTTGATATTTCTATAGGGAAACTGATGCAGTCAGCCCTGCGTGGGATAAACGAAGCCGGCAACCAGCCTCTTCTCCCGTTAGGTCAAGTTCGGCCGCCTCACCAGTTACAAAAAATCTTTTTATTTTCAATCTTTTTTGAATTTCAGGATTGCAGATGAAGGATTGAGGACCCAAAATAAAAACAGCAGCAGCTACCTTCTGATGAGCGCTTACAAGATGCTGCAAACTGGCAAAACCAGATGGCAGACTTCGAGTCAAACAGTCAATATATAAAAATAAAGGGATTTCACCCAAAAAAGGCCAGATTTCAGCTTCTGAATGCAACACGCAGTCCCACATGACCACAGTCAGTTAGAGGTGACATACCTGGTTCTCCACAGTCCCCACCACTCCCTCTTGCCTTATACCCAGCCCTCCAGCCTGGCCCCTGTGGGTATCCAGACTCTCTCCCCCACCTACCTTCCCATCAGGCACTAGGATATGGACACTTATTTAAAGTCTCTCATTTAATCCTCCCAATGGGTCCCCCAAAACACATATGCAATTTCCCCATTCTACAGGTGAGGCACCAAGGGTCAAAGAATTTAAGTCATTTATCCAATATCCCACAGTTCCAAGCCCAGGCCAGGGCATTCCAATCCCTGCCTTCCTCAGCTCAGGAAGACTGTCTCCCACCAACACTCAGGAGAGGCAATGGGGAAATGGGGAGGGAACCCACACGGCCCCCACAGCCCACACGAGGGCACCAGAAAGGGGAAGGACAAATAGGGAGGTAGAAATACAAGGCCTGGAGGGAGCAGTGAATGGGATACCAGTGCATTATTTCCATGGAAGAAACAAGAGAGAGGAAAATGGTTTGCATATCTTTTCACTGGGAGCAAAAGAACAGGATCAATTATGGTCTCTTTCCGACACCTTGTCTTCCTCAAACTTGTATGGAAAGTGAACAGAAAGAAGTTGCTTTAATGTTTGTATCAGAAGAGGCAGAAGAGTTAGGGGTGGAAATTCTGCCCCAGAGAGCTTTAAAAAAAAACTGTAAAATCCCAAATGGTCTCTCCCTTTCAGACTCAACTCTAGGCCTATATTTCTAGAATTTCATATGTATTTTTAATGCTGTCTTTGTGTGTGTGTGTCCTCTTCCTTCACGATCTCACAGAGTTGACCAGTTCAAGTGCACCGAACACAGGACTAGGTAGGGAAAAGGGTCTCTCTTGGTCAGCACACCTGACCATCTTCATCCATGTTTCCCTTTTACGGTATTTATGATATTTGAGCTTCTTATCACTGGTAACTACACTCTTTTTTGTTTTCCACCCACTTTTATAAAACAAAGAGAAAATGCTAAAAAGGTTCAAAGAGCTGTCCAAACAAAGCCTTCTGCAGAAACTTAGGTGGTGCAAATAGGAAATGGGACGGCTGGAAGGAGGAGTGTTATCCCTGCCGGGTGGGAAACGTCCGTTACTGGCAGAGATGAGAGGTGGAGACGGGAAGAAGGCAGAGATGGACAATGGGCACAAGTGAGAGATGCCCAAGAGCGCACATGTCCAATGTCACGGCACCTGTCAACCTCAGCACTCGGGCCTGATGGGTCCAGACCCACCATTACGACAGAGGGCAGCCTCTCTGGCCCTCCCAGCCCCGAAAACACTGATTCTCAGTTGTAGATTTTCCGTAAGATGCCAGGCCAGCTTTGACTGTCTCCTCACAAATATCTCAAAGCAATCCCTGCTGTTTGAATTAAGTTGAACTTCTGATTGTGCTGTTTCCTAGACCCAAAAGGTCTTCTACCCAGCAATTTCATGTGATTCAACCTACACCACAAGCTCACCTTCACCCAGTATAATCCAACCTGACTCTGAATCTGAACCTAAGTTTAAGAGCACAGGGTTTAGAGTCAGACGTCTGAGCTCAGGTCCTGGTTCTGCCATTTTCTAGCTGTACAACCCTTGACAAGCCATCTGCCCTCTCAAGGCCTCAGTTTCTGCATCTGCAAAATGGCAATATGCCAATCCTAGGACCTATCTCATGGGACTGGAGTCAGACTTAAGATAAACACGCTACACATGTAAAAGTACATAGCGTGAGCTCAGCCTTAATAATAATCATTAGCAACCCTAGATACAGCTATAAATGACACCATTTATTGGGTTCCAGAAACTGAGGCACAGAAAACAGAGCAACTTGTACAGGGTTACACAATAGATGGGTGAGAGGCAGAGCCAGGCCTGGACCACACCAGAGGTTTTCCCAGCCTGTCTCGGGGCCTAATCTGAATCCTGGGCTGCAAGTCAGCTTGTCATGAGCATCCACCAGACCCCAGAGCCCTGAGGCCTTCTCCAAAGGACCAGTCAGAATGACAGTGAATATAGCAATGTAGGCAAAGTACTAAGCACAGGTCAGGTAAGTGAAGTAACTGCTAAACTAATGGAAACTCTACTGCTGCTGCCACTGGACCACAGGCCCCAAAAGATGCAGCTTCTGCCTGGCTCTGTCTGGGTCTCACTCTGAACCCTGGGTAAGCTCTTTCCTTTCCTCGGATCTGAGGTTCTCATAGGTAAAAACAGGGATGGGAGGCACCAGGGTTAAATGAGATCATCTCTCGCTCCCTTTCACCTCTGATACCCCTAGGTGGGGCTGACCCAATCTTAACCAAACCCCTCAAGGGTAAATAAAATTTGGTGGGGGAAGTGAGCTCATGAGAGGCCCTCCTCCTCACTCTTACATAGATGGGGGTAAAGGTATCCAACCCCTATCCTAGCTCTCCATAAAGGCACCTGTCCCCTCTCCCAGCCCCATCCATTCTTCAACACACCAGCTTCTTCTCAGGACCTGGGCAAGGCTATTTTTGGTTTCATTTGACCCTCCTCTTCCCTCCCAAATGAACGTTAAGTTGTTCTTTTCCATTCTCTTATTAAGGATTTTTCCTGGAAAGAAAATATTATTCCAAACCCAGAAATTTTATTTCTGAATTTGTGCAAATGTAAGTTGTAAGACATTAGCTGCATTTCACATTTTGTGCAAATGGCAGAAACAGGCAATTCGTGTGCTACGGGATGGGGGCTGGCCAACGATTTCGATAAAATAAACCCTTTTTTAATTTAAATGCTAATGCACTGAATTAAAATTTAATAACTGAGGAAATTGAAAAGCCGAGCAGGAATATTGGAAATAAATCCAAGCAGAAACAGCTGAAATTAAAAATTCTAGAGAGTGGGAGGATAGCAGCTAAGCTGTCTTATATGATTACATTTTTTTTTTTTCAGAATGAAGCAAAAAAAAAAAATCCTATCTCTCGCTGGCTCTAGGGCAGTAAATCCACAGTGCTGTGATTTATTGCTCAATTTTCCTGAGGGAAAAAGGCTTTCTTTCATGCTGAAATATTTCATAAATTTCAAGCCAGCATAAATTCTTAATTTAAAAGTTATGGAGGTCACATTTAGTGCACTGGTACGGTTCCAAAATCTTAAAGGAATAGCAGCAACCAAAAAAAAAAGAAAGAAGAAAAAGAAAAGAAAAAAGAAAAGGGAGGGGGCAGAATTTAAATCTTTTTTTCATTTTGGTTTTAATTCACGAGTTGAAATTTCATTATTAAAGATTCTTCCTGGATGGATAGATCCCAAGCACGTGGGGAACTGGTGTGTGTTTGGAAATGTGCTGCAAAAGATGAAGAGATAAAGATTTAATTCAATTATAAAAAGGCATTTTTTTTTTTTAAGCCACTTGAGGAATTTCTGGTAAAAATTTCCTCCCTTCATTGCCCGGGAAGGGGTGAGGGTGGGGGAGGGTGGCCAATGTAATTGCTTCTCTCAGATCTCCAATCTTTTGTGTACACTGATATATTCATTTGTTATACAGCTGTTCAGCGGTGGAAAGAATGCTGGGGCGCCCATAATTCTAAGCAAATCAATCAAAAATTAATGATTTGTCATGCTTGCACAATGGAGGAAAACAGCTCCTTGGGTCCCGGCTGCCTGATCTCGAAGAATGAAATGCCTTTCTGCGATAAGAGAGCAGAGCCAGAGGCTCAGGGCAGCTGAGGGGCCACCACAAGTGTGGGGGCTCATGGCCCGCGAGCTCTGAGAGGATGGAGAGGGCACCTCCAAGATGGCGCGGTGGCCAGTCAAGCCCAGGACGGACCTGAGGCAGCATGTTTCCGTGGTGGTATAATTAGAATCTTGCCTTTTTCCCTCCCCCACTGCAACTCAAAAATCGCTTCCTCTCTGGAGACTTCAATGACTCCCCCCTCCCCCCACCAGATTTGATTTGTCCCTGTTCATTGTTCTCCCAAGGCTGCTAACACACCACCACCAGCGCCTTTCACCAACTCTAAGGGATGGGGACCACAGTTCCTGGAGGGCCTGCATCCCCCCAGAGTGCACGTCTCCTCGATAAAGACCCGATCCCACACAGCGCTATGTCTCCAGCACCCAGCCCAGGGCCTGGCACAGGGCAAATGTTCAGCAAATATGGTTGAATCCATTAATTATTATTTCTCAGGAAAAAGTCATACCGAGGTTGCTTAGATGAATGATGAACTACATTGGCAGTTATACTTGGATAAAATTTAACAACTGATCTTAAATAATCAATCAATCCTTTAGTCATTCAACAGATATTTCTTGAAAGCCTACTATGCATCAAGCACTATGGCTGGGCTTTGGGTGGACAACCTCAAATCCACTGGTGGACAATTCCAAATCTCCAGTGCTCACTTCCTTCCACCCCTGGAAGGGAAGAGTAAATGTGAACCTGGGAGAGGAGAGAAGTTCTCTGCATGCCCAAATACCTTTGAAGTCTCGTATTCTCTCTTACTAATTCATGTGAATGTTATATTCACGAGTGTCAAATGCATATTCCTCCAAACCACATCTGTGTACTTCATACATATGTATGTATGTTAGTTTGAACATAAAAATTCTGTTTTAAATATCCAACTGGTACAGCTGACCCTGCAGGAAGACACTGAGGCTCAGCCGTGGGTGAAACCAAGTGCATTTGACCTGGAGGCCTGCAGGAGGCACTGAGCCTGCGAGAAGCACCTACCAGAGCCCCGGGACCCGCCCAGAGGATTATTCTATGTCCCCTACTATTTACTGAGGACTGGGGCACAAGTGGGTCACAAACAACTCAAGCCTCATTTACAAATCTCTTTCCTTTCCAACAACCAGTGGATCCCCCAGATTTTACTTGAACTTTCTGTCTCATTGAAGCACAAGCTCATCCAACAAGTATTTACCGAGCTCCTCAATGCACTAGACATTGTTCTAGGCAACTGGGACACATCCTTGTCCTCAGGGCAATTATACTCAAGTGGAGGGCAGACAGTAGTATTAGGGGTAATCAATTAGAAAGATATATAGTATGCCAGAAACTCATCAGTTCTGTGGGGGAAAAAAAACACAGAAAGGTTGGAGGT